ATGCCTTTGCCGAACGGCACGTTTTCCGGTTGGCAGCGTGCAAGCATCATATAAATATCTCGTCTATCTCATAATCCCTCCGCACTAGCACTAGCTTTCTCCGCTTGTACAGATCCTATGTACCATCAAATGCGGTAACCCCGACGATCTTGTCGGAATCTTCTCTGTAACTGATATTCAGACGACTACATTCCTTTTGATTGCTCCCCTTGCACTTCACTAATGCCTAAAGTAGATGTCCACTAGTGTGCGCACGGATTGATGGAGAATTGCGGAAAGTAAACTTTGCAATGATCCTTCAAATATTCGTGGATGCTTCGAAGCATGACGGTGAAATTTCAGATCTTGATATTAATCAATTGGGGATGTCAGATGGGTTTATTACACATGTTTGAAAATTGGTATGTATCATATTAGTCCCTGCATCCACTGGTAATCATAGTTGCAGAATTACCTATCAGTTAACATACGATCCACGACAGTTCAAAGCTCATCTTGTGTCTGAACAATGGGAAGTATACTGTGCTAGGCGATCGGACGATATTTCAAAGATGCTCATAATGACAAATTTTATCTCCGATGAGAAAACACTGCAAGCACCAATTCGCAGACTTCAAGTCATGACGTAATCTGGAATAGATGCGCTGGATGACCTTGGGCAGCTGATAATTTGAACGAGAAAATCAGATCCGTACGTGCTCGATACTTTGGGAGTTCATCTTATCTGATTTATGTTGTATCAAATCGAAGGGGGAAACCAGAGATAATGTTGTGAATGCTGCATGGTATGAATGAACGATGTGGATGAAACCCCCAGATCACAAGACTACAAACCTACATCGTTTATAATCAAATTGCAGACCGCAACTTCGGAATAGGAGGCATAGAAGCGAAACAATGCGGCAAACGAAAACGAAAGTGTCTCTTCTATCAGAAGGCGGGATTGTGAATAGTACATTTGGAGTTCCAGTGATCTCCAATGAACATCTCCCTCATGAGGAAGTCTCCTTCAGGCGATATAGGTGATCTACCAAGTGATGATTCAACGCCCGCAATCTGGATTAAGAAACTAGATGCGAGCTTCTAGTATGTGAAAAGGCTCAAAATTAAACACCAATTAAGCGCTCCGAAATAACTACCTATGTAGTATTTAAATTATCTCATATGATCAGATAGTAAAAGTTCATGATCTTGCGACAGAATTCTAGACTTTGGAAACTCTGCTACAGTGTGGCTATATACATACCGCGTAGCTCTACATGGTAGAGTTCCATATTATATCTATATAGTTCACTAGAAATCGGCTATTCTAGCGATGGTCAGTAATTAGTAAGTGTTGATGTTCTTCAATCTTCTTCGAGATATAGCCACGGTGCATAGATTTCCAGTGCCGGGTACTGTACTATGCTGGTTATATTTCGTACTGGTGATATAGCCACTGGCCTATGGCAGTATCGATGTAGACAACAAACAATCATGATAGATATCTTCCTGTGGTATTATATATGGTGAGTTACTTCACATTATTGAAGAATAGCTCGAAACTCCAGCTACTCTAATTGCTTATATAGAAGTCATTATATTGCTCATTTCGAACTCGAGAGTGAATCACTCCGTTTATAAAGGAGATTCAAAGACAATCTCGACAAATAATTTTAATTTTAAAGCCACATGATGAATAGAGTGTGAATAAATCACACCATTCACACTCGATACAGTCAAGATATCCAGTGACTCCTACAGCTAATAGCCAAGCCAAATCTACTGCATGAAATCAAACAGTGAAAGATCTCAGATTCTTCAAACCTAATATCTTCAGCAAATTAGCAGCCAATCTATGTTAACGCCCATTCAAATCAGCAGTACTATTCACATCTTCTGCACGCGATTCGCAGAAATTGTAGTCATATCTACAGCAATATGAACCATGGTCTTCTTGCCGTATTGCTAGAATTTGTAGCTATAAGATTGCTTCGTCTCTCTGTTCTTTCTCCTGTCTTCATCACAATTGCAATTGCGATACTGAATCCCAAGTTCGATTAGCAGTCTTTCTCTCCCTTACACACACCACACATATACGCAAAAACTCGAAAGACTCTCGCGGATAATTTCGTTCATCTCGGTATTTCAGTTCATCTCTCCAACTCACAACAATAAAACTCACCTCATCACTTCTTCTCTCCCAAGATCCTCATACCTAAAAACAATTTATCAACAAACCCGAGAAAATCAACACTCCACCCAAAATGTGCACAGAATACATCACCACATACACATGTCATCACCACGAAACCACCGGCCACATTTTATGTCGAAAATTACGAAGAGGTGAGTGTACGAGCACGGAAGAGATATACAAGAATCTGAAGGAGATTTGTGGGGTTTGCAGAGAGCGAAGAAAAGTAGATGGGAGAAGTCCGGCGGAAATGTCTGGGAGGGAGAAGAAGGGTGAGAGGAGCGGCGAAGATGGAAGATAGGGACGTCCACGTGTATTCGATGGATGGCTTGGGGGGTTTGGGACGGCAAATAGGGATGCGAAGGTTCCTGAGGTCGTGAAAGGGAGATTGGTGGAAGGGGAGGTGTACTTCTATGGATGTCTGGAGCTAGATTCACTGGAGCTAGATTCATGGAAATCTCGAGTCTTTGGGTGGTTACTGGAAAATCACAAAGCTGCAGATGGGTATGAGGTGTCTACCTAGGTATCTAGATTCGGTAATCAAGACTACCTAGACAAGTTGCGAAAGTGGATGGATCACCGACACATAAGCCTATTTGCTATGTGTCGCTATTCTTCACGCTTGTAAAATAGAAACTCGTTTCTGAAACTCTTTTTGGGATTTTGATGGTGTGAATTTTCGCTTCTTTGAATATTGAATTTTGAATAGTGCATGCATGGCTGATTTCGATTCTTTGTTTTCGTCTTTTTGTTGTTGTGGGTTAGTTTGGGAGTGTGCATGTGTAGCGAATGTGTTCTCGGGTGTATGGGTGGGTAGGTAGATGTAGGTTCATTTTTAACGGTTTTTGGGGACTGAGGATTTTTGTGATGGGAATGAAGAGAGAGTTATTTATGGAAATGTGTGAAGTGAAGTGGCATGGGGAGAACTGGAATGGGGAAAAGAGGAAGTGGAATCGATGATGATGATGATGTGAGATTTTGATGGAGTTCTAGTGAGAGGATATAAAAGTCTTGTAGATGAGATTTTTTTAATTGAACAGTGTTAGTTGGGGAATAGTTATATGAAGATTTCTTTTCGTCAGTTTTCTTACGGGTGTTGATATCAGCATGATATTCCAGAGAAGGCGTTGCTCAAAAGATAATTTTGAAGGAGAAGCTATATTTTGTGAGGGATTGTTATATATAATTAGTAAGTCTTTATGATAGGGACTCCGAGCCATTTTCTCTATTCTTCGCAATCAGTGATAAGTAAAATACGGGGCGATGCTATGTTAGAAGAAAGTTCGAAAAAAACTCAATCTCCGAATCGGGGTTTGAAGTAACATTGTGAGATTTGTGAAAGATGGGGATTTTTCAGATTATACCTATTATAGGTATCTAGATGAAAGCAAGAGGTTTGGAGATGGAGATGGTGTAAAGACCGGGATGAAAATCTCTTTTTGTGATTGATGTTATGTAGGTATGTTGGGATACAAATTATAATATAAATATTGGTTCTTTACAGTGAAGTGAATGTTAACAATCTGGAGTCAATCATCTGGACCTGAAAGATAACTGACTGATGTGAGAATATTTCAAGCCAACGAGATGCATACTTTTGATTCTCGGTTAAACTTCTTTGAACGGATTCTACGGGGTGCCTAGGTAATTGAGTAACTACATTCGCGATGGATAAAAAGGTTGAGGTATGATGTAGGTATCTCTAGACAGGTACGATAAATTCCTTGTGTTGAATTGCGAATTTGAATAAGTGTCTTCAAAATACCAAGAAGCAATAAAGCCATAAGCTATATCATCAGAAGATGAGAAGTCAAGAGTTGAATCTCAAATATGAGTTTGGAAACATTCACAAAAGAGATTTCTATATTGCGGAGAGGATTTACTTCTATTTTGATTTCAATACAAAGCTGCGGGTCTCTCTTGCTCGTAGACAGTGATTATATTTGGTTGTTTTAGAAGGGGGAAGAAACTCTCTGTCTATAGAATTGGTATTCTGAGGGAATAATGTGCATGAATGGGTGTGTAGAGGAGCTTGATCATATTGATTAGACGATCTCAATACCTTAACCGAGGGGTGAAGTCAATACTAGACCCCACCAAATAAGTAATAAACTTATTTAATAAGAAATAAGAGATATATATAGATTGGTATTAGAATGTAGATCGCTAGACTTGTGTAGATATTTGATATCAAGTATTTGGTCAACAGTCACTCTTAGTCTAATAATCGTCGCTATTCCCGACGATCGGAATGGTCAACAGTCGTCTATTTGCACTATATGCAAAACTAAATTGACAATGTTTTTCAATCACCTCGAGTGAGAGATAGAAGCTGAAATTAGAGCTCATATCAGTGGTCTTAGCCTTGTTTAACGAGCCTTTGAGGAAAATCTGACTCAGGTTGTTGAGATATATGGAGGGAAAGGAAGCAATGCGTGGGAGAAAACCATGAGTCACTTCGGTGAGATATCATACTGACGACTGCCTTAAGATAGCCGATTGGCTTGAGACAGGAAATAGATTTTATATCATAGCGATAAGCTTGACATTGTTCATCACTATCTGGGGAGCCAGGCTGTCATGAATATTGATTTCTTTTAACTGACACTTCGAAAAGAAAAAATGCCTTGGGCGGTCCCAATAAATACTCCAAACCACCGTGCAGACGACCTTCAAAGAAACAGATAAACAGCATGCTCTATACTTCCATCATTTCTCAGTTATCTCTTATCCGCCAACATCTCAAGATAGTTATGCTAAAAGAATGCCTTTGAAAAGCATACACCAAGAAATACTGTAGTTCTTGAAGTCCATTCAATGGCCACTAAGTGTTTACATCCCCATCCACCCTCTCGTTTTCTTTCAAGGTCAAGGTATTATGCTCGAACATTTTCGCAAATTGAACTGAGGGGTGATTGATACCTCCTTGAGTTTCCATGACTGTGATTAAAATTCTATAAACACCTGCGCGACAAGAGAAATTATGTTTGCGAGCCAGCAACTCAGCCTTTGATAAGAATGGCCACAGGTAAGCTTCGAGGTGTTGCTCTCTGGCCAATCGAAATGCTGAATGAACTCGAATCTCAAATTCGGCAGTATTTAGTATCGTGTCTATCTCACCAGAAATCTGGAAGAATTCTTCTCTTCTTCGGTCGCCGAGAATTCCAACGAAAGATAACCGACCACTACCACATCCCATAGGACACTCATGATGGCCAATCCCATGAAACTGTTTCAAGTAAGATTCTCTGCCATCTTTTCCCACATTCAAAGGGCAATATGAAAGGGTGATTGCTTCAAATTGTGCGAGAGGCCTGGTAAGCCGGACCTCGATTTTTCTCTCGAAAAGATTAGCGGAACAGATAGCGTTGGGATAGCAACTATGAGCGAAAGGAATACCATGGGTAGGCACGACAAATCCGCTATTGTTTGCAACAAGTGATGGGTGGCGTAGAGCATTCCTGGTAAAGCTGTCGTAAAAATTTACGCCCGGTGGCTCTAGGTGAGAAAGCGCATCTACAGGGAGATTTAACAATGAGAGACCACGGAGAACAGCAGCCTCCGGTGGGAACGTATTGTCAGATGTCGTATAATTGTCAGGATCACCAGCTACTGAAGGCATCCAGAATAATACCGTGTCTTGATGTACGACTGTACCAGCAGGCGAGGCAACCGCAACTCTAGCCCAAGTTCTTCCTGTAGGGGAGACGTCACTTACCACGCCTGGTTGATATTTTCCGATAAACATTTGAATTTTGAATTGAGAATTGGTTGAGAGAACGGAAGATTATTTTGTTAAATACATGTAACTTGCTTTGACTTATCAAGAACAGAAAAGAGAGAGTGAGATTTCCTAAAAGGCATAGCAAGAAGTAGTTATGCAATAGGAAAGAGGTATAGAATGATTCGTCCCGAGAAAGAAGAGCTGAATGATTTCTCAAACATTGAGTTCGTTGATTATTTTAGATTTAAAGCATAATCTCGGTGAATTCGTCCAATCCTCTCGGACTGTTCAAGCGTTCAGAGTACTGAATTCGATGAGATTATCATAACCTGAAATCATCAAGAACGACGAGTTCACCTGGAATACTACAACAACCAAGAGAATTAGAAGAACATAGATCGTTACATCCACTCAGAGTATCAGATTTTAAACGGACACTTAACTGCGAAATAAAGGTAACAATCAAACCATGTCAAACGACAATTGCCTCTTATCAGACACATTCGAAATAAGTTTCCATCCAGGGTACCAGATACCTCCCTCATGCTTTCCCAATTCAGAAATGAGATGCTCTTTTCAGTCTAATACTTTGTCAAGTTTAAGACACGTCTTGATTGTCCTTGCCTGATCGAATCAATTTATCTCACCCTGACTGAAAATTAAACAACGGAAGAGGAGTTTATGATCCTTTATTGAGACTGCCAAAATTTCATCATCTCAGGAGCGAAGCGGGAGGAGGGCATCTGGGACGATGGGTTCAACTAAAGCACTAACAAGCACATATGATACGACTCAGGCACCAACGGAACAAATTGGGCTTATTGCAGATCACACCGCAAACATCATCGATTTCTAGATGCTCTTCTATGAATCCCGTCCTCTAACTGAGATCTCCCACCAAAACCATCGGTAATATCACACTCTCAAGCACCCATCCAAGCCCATTCATTTCCAACAACTCGCCATATCAAACACCGGAATTTGCACACTATCTGCAAGCTCATTTCCGAACCCCTCCACGATCTTTCCTTCCAAGATACTAGCGCGTGTAAACCTCTGCGCCGCATCATCTAACCAAGCGAGACTAAAGTCCCAGGAAATATCAAGGATCCTCAAAGTTTCATTCTCCCTAACAAGTGTGTTTAAAACCCGTAAATACCAGTTGGTCACATGAAGTATATCGACTGCGGGTTGACACAGGCGAAGAATCTCGCATAACATAGCTTGGTTTTTGACTTTGGCGATTTGGATCATGGTGAGGACTTTCTGGCTTGAGTGGCGGAGACGACTTTGGTGGTAACATAGGCCTATTTGTACAGATTCTTCTGCTGCGACGCAACGATATATACCCACCAAATCATGTCTGGTGAGAGATCCGATGTCAAGAGCGTTACCGGTAGCTAAAGTGAAGTCAAATTCGAAGGGGCGGGCGTTCTCTCTTTCCAAGACGCAGAGATAGAGATAGTTTGGGGTTTCTTGGGAAGAAGACGCTTCTGTTTGTTGGAGATCAGGCCTGAGTCTAGGGTATGTAGACATAATGGTCATTAATAGTTCTTAAGGAGATAGGCAGATTTGTTGTTTAGATGTGACTTGCTGTTCGATGATTGAATAAATGGATGAGGTAGTTGATGTCAAGAGAATGAGGAGGTAGTAATGGGAAGTTAGGGATACTTTATACATGGAGAAGTGAAGCATTTAGAACACTGCATGTCCATTCACAGAGTACCTCATGGTGCTATAGCAGAGTACATAGATTCAGAGCATGAAACTTGCTTTTCGAACGTTACCATTCAATGCTCGTAGACTTAACAGCTTCAATTCTTCTGAGGAATCACAGCGACTCTACAACGACCTTTTCGCTGAAGGCAAATATTCGCATTCACTGCTCTGTACTTCGTAATCTTATCATAAAATGAGCATTCACAAACTGTCTGGGATTGATCTAAATATGATGTTGGAAAAGATCAGCATCGCCTGTAAACAAAATGATAGTTTCAGAGGAATGTGGCTCTGGACCGCTCTCACATGGCATCGTATCCTATCTATAGAGATTAAAGCTGTGCAAAATGGCAAACAGGTCTATTATTCCACCTGTAGTTTGAGAAGTTTGTGATGATATTATTGCATCCATATAATATCATTGCTCAATTTCCGGAGATAGAGGTATCGAAGAATATTCATCCAGAGCCTCAAAATTATAACAGCCGCATCCTTCGAGACATGTAAAAGTGATAAAATTGGGAAGCGTGGCTTCTGTAGGTATTCATAGATTCAAACTGATGCCTAAGCATTTCTGTCAACCACTAAACTTATATTCGTGCTTTGGGTCTCCATTTTGCATATGGATGATCCTCCTCTCCGTCTGAAATTAGATGATCTACAGCTCTCGTGTTCAACATGCCAGGGTGAACTTGTGACAAGTCCGTAACACCCATCATCCTCATTGTTGTCTCCAGCTCGTCTTTCAAGACTATGTGTTGTTAGCATGTCGATCAAGAATGTAACTACATTTGAGGTCATAACTCACTCTCGATATATTTCTCTACGCCCTCGTGGCCCCAACCAAGAGCAAACAAAAAGCCCCGGCCAATTCCTACAGCTTTGGCTCCTAGGCACAAAGCTTTAAATATATCAGTTCCTCTCATAATCCCACCATCAATGAAAACTTCCATTCCGTCGAAGACTTCGGGCGCATTCTTCTGCAATTCTAACAAAACCAGTATCGAAGCTGGGCTTGTGTCCAGACTTCTACCACCATGATTACTTAACAAAATCCCATCTATTCCATAATCAAGTGCCATCTTTGCATCGAGCGAAGTTTGTACACCTTTCAGTAGAATAGGAAGCTTGGTACATTTTCGTAGCCAGGCGATATCTGACCATGAAAGTGTAGCATCAATGTAAGCACCCATTATCCTTCCCAACGCACCGCCTTTTTTATCGTTCTTGGCTTTTGCACCACTCATTGGTGTAGACAAACTCTCATCTGCCTTTACTCTTTCATCCGCTTCTCGCTTTCCAGGGACTGGTGCATCAACAGTCACAAATATTGCCTTGACACCGAGCTTTTCCACATCTTGTAGAAGCTTTTCAGATTTATGCCTTTCCTTATCAACGTAAAGCTGGAAAAATATTGGAAGCTCTTTTCTCCCATCGGAACTCTGCGAATGGTCTTCAGACGCGGCCTCAAATATCTCCGCAATTGGAAAACTAGCGTTTGTACTGACGGTCATGGCCGATCCCGCAAATTTCAGCCCACGAGCTAGCTCCCGTTCACCTTGTGGATGTACCAGTTTTGCCATTGCTGCTGGTGAACAGAATATTGGCACTTCCATCTGATTACCAAGCATTGTAGTCCTCGTGCTAACATTTTTGACATTTCTCAGTATTCTAGGACGAAGACCGATATCTGCATATGTGGAAGAATTTCGGCTTTTGGTTATAAGATCCGTAGCAGCGGAAGAATAAAATGCCCAAGTTTTGGGGGTAAGAAATGTCTCCGCAGCAGATACAAAATCGTGCGTGTTTATCAAATTATCAAGAGAAGGCTTAGTGCCAGGGGCTAGAATCTTTGAAACTTCAGGCGGAGGTTTGATCCATTCTTCCGTTATAGTAGAAGAATCAACTGTTCCCAAGACTTTCGAGGCTGGAAGTGAGGATGATATCAGGGAGGGTGCATGGATTTCAGAGTAGGCTTTTGAAGCATCGCGGCCAGCATATTGCAGAATTACTGGGTGAGAAGATCAGCAGGAGAAAATGAGCTGGACAAAGAATTTGCTTACTGCTGGCACCTCCAGGGTGTTCGGGGGCAAAATCTGTCAAATCATAAACTGTATCATTTACCACAACCCATAAATCTGAAGGAATGCTGTGCTGCGAAATCTCCTTCACTGATATTCTACGCGGCATTTTGAGATTTATAGATGAGACTTATTTTCTCTTATGGCCTTCATCAAAATCACAACAAAAGGATGTGAAAACAAGAACCACTTAAGAAATAACAATCATTGAAACGAAATATACATATCCAGGTCGTTGAATTTAATGCGAGTCGGAATTGCTGCCGCTCCTGCAGTGATGCAAGCTCGTGCTAATTGAGGCCGAGCTCAGACAACAGTCAATGCTTGATTGGCCAATACGATGGATGTCATTGTCCAATCGATACTTGATATGTCATGGATGGAACCACAGCATTTTACTTGTTGAATCATCATTCGAATATCACTTAAGCAATTAACGATGCGATTGTATAAATCAATTGAGAAGGAAAAACGAACATGTCAACTCTGCTTTGATTTATTCTATTGTATTTTCTACAAAATATTATATTGATGCCTTTGTATAGAGGTCTTCATAATTTCGACTTCTCTGCAATCATACATGCTGAATTCGGGAGACTCTCAATGCTATCCCTATCGATCTGGTCCACACTCTGGTATCCGGATACATTCATTAAGATATCGAAGTCGGCTAAGAGAGACTTCATGACATGTCGAACCCCCAGCTCACCCTTGATACTTAATCCCCAAACCCATAATCTCCCGACGAAGACAAATTTTGCTCCAAGAGCTAACGCTTTGAATACATCAGCTGCCCCACGAACTCCGGAGTCGAACATAATATAAGTCTTGTCACCTACAGCTGAAAAGAAGCATCAGCATCATTTATATATTACCGTAGAATATAAAAGATGCAGTTTGAAAAGCACCGAGGATCAACCACTTACCATTAACAATCTTTTCCAATGCATCTAAGCTTGCACAAGCTCCATCGACCTGCCTCCCAGCATGATTGGACACAACGATGCCATCAACGCCAAGCTGAACAGCCTTTCTTGCATCTGCAACATGCTGGATACCCTTCAAACAAAAAGGTTTGCCAGAACTGATTCTTTTCCATTGCTCCATGAGCCAAGGCATTTTCTCCCAGGACCAAGCGCGTCCATGCCAGACATTATCAATCCACATCGCACCGGCCTCATTTGGTTGCTTTTTTGGATCGATACCGGCTTCTTTCAATCTTTTTTGGAAAACAGGATCAGACAGTCCCAAATCAGCCCCTACGCCATGATAGAAAGCATAATTCGAGTTCGCAGCGTCACGGTGTCTCCAAGCCAATTGCCATGTATCTAACGTCAAGATACAGGCTGTAAAGCCACTATCATGTGCTCTTTGTAACAAGCTCAAGGTCAACTCATCATCATGTGGCATATATAATTGAAAAAATCTTGGTCCAGCACCATTCGCAGCTCCTACATCTTCAATCGAGGTCGATCCTGCTGTTGATAAACAATATGGCAGATTTAATTCTTTTGCAACCTCAGCTACAGGTAATTCAGCTAATGGATTGTAAATCTTGTTGATGCCGATAGGTGCGAATCCGATTGGTGCGCTGACCTTGTGGCCAAAGATTTCCGTCTTCGTATCACGATTGTTTGTATCGACGAGCATGCGAGGGATAATTCGGTGGCGGTAGAATGCCTGTCGGTTCGCGAGATGAGTGTAGGATTGGCCTGCGTTACAGGATGCGTAGTACCTGTAAACGATATCAGTATCGAGATGATGTTTAGATATGCTCAAGCTCATTTCACCATCCGCCTTTTGTTAATGATTCTTTTGCCAAATCTTCGAGATCTCCTGGGTCTGTGCTAAATGGAGGGACTTCTCCAGTGTTGTCCTTCCAAAACATTTCTCGTTGATAAAGTGCCCATTGTGGAGTGTTTCTACTCTTGATATTGGGATTTTGGGGATCAGACATGATGATAGGCAAGATATGAGAAGCAATTGTAGACAACAATGAAAGGTAACGTGAAATTGAATCAAGATAGTCTTGATCAAGAAGAAAACAGAACACTTAACTTGAATGTCGCAGCTCATTACACAGTTGTTACTTAACATCTATGATCTCATTGTCGGCATCTTATTCCGGACTCAGAATCTCAGATGTTGTTAGTTCTAAAATAGCTCTGGTGCTCTACGAATGGCGAGTGACAAATATCATTCACGTGACTTCGCACAGATTTTGTGGCTTGAATGTGGCTATGCTCTCTTTGAAAGTTTCAACAACTCCCGACCTTCCAAGAGGTCATGATATCACGGCGTTGCGAGTCTCGAGCGAGTATCAGTCAGGCAAAATATGTAAATTTTGTGAATGATAGCGTCGTTCTTCGTACTTCATATTCCTGTTCAGTTAAATTTCTCACTTCATGGCCTCATGCCTCGGCTTTCTCATGCTCTCCTGCGCAGAGCTTACAATATTTCGCCTTTATTACCATTAGTCCTCCAAGAAACACGCAGTCTTTCATCTGCAATTAATGAATTACGATGGCTACGAGAATATGTTGATAAAACGATGAGCCATCGTGTACCCAATCAAAAACGGAGGACTTTGCTAAAACTCTGCCAAAGACGTGCTATAGGGGAACCACTGCAATATATACTTGGCACTCAGCCTTTTGGGGAATTGGAAATTAAATGCCAGCCTGGAGTACTTATACCTAGGTAATACTGACAAAACGCCTTCTCTCAGACTCATATCTAACAATCAAAGGCCAGAAACAGAGGCATACACAACATACCTAGCAGAACTTCTTATCATGGCAAAGCATTCATTCCACGAAAAAATAGAAAATCAGCGGAATCCACTGAAGATCATTGATTTTTGTTCCGGGACTGGTTGCATTTCTCTTCTTTTATACTCGCTTTTGAATAAAGTATATCCTAGACTCGAGATCGTCGGTCTAGACATCTCCAAAAAAGCGCTTGATCTATCAATTCAGAATGTTCGTTTTAATGCTCTGAACAGATCTGCACAACAAAGGGTTCGTTTTGAATTTGCTGATGTTCTCCAAGACGAGGAAAGGATCCTGGATATATTTCAAGGCGTCTGCGATGCAATTGTGTCCAATCCTCCATATATATCAGAAGATGGATTTAACAAAGAAACGACACGATCAGTTAGAAATTGGGAACCAAAACTTGCACTGGTTCCTGATGCATCGAGGCGGGAAACCATACACTTCAATGGTGATTCTGGGAATCGCTCTCTCTTCGAAGTGGAGGATATCTTTTATCATCGATTGTTGCGATTTCATTCCCTTTTGAAGTCAAAAATTCTTGTAATGGAAATAGGCGACGAGGCACAGGCAAAGAGAGTGGCCCAAATGGCAATTGGCTTTTCAGACAGGATTGAAATATGGAGGGACTGGCCAGATCAACGCGAGTTTGGAAACGAAAGTGCAGAATGTATGTTCCTTGCCAATCACAAAATAGTAGTCAAAGGCACTGGAATGGTTAGAGCTGTCGTCTTGCTCTCCAATCAATATTTTGAAATATAAATATCCTGGGGTACCATTAATATCATGGTCATCATGCGTGGAAGGCAATGTTTGACAGGTCGCAAGATAGTGTTGGCGGTCTAAAACCGAGACATTCCAGAAGCAATCTAGAAGATCTCTGGAATAATGTTCTATTGAGCGCCCCTTTTGCATTAGCCGAATTCCCCAATTCAACCTTTTCAAAGCTTCCAGAAGACTAGCCAGAGCATTCTAAGACAGCAGCTCCACACCTAATTCAACCGCGCGTTTTTACGTCAATTCTCAGCCCGGGTAATGAAGAATTATGAGACTGGCTTCAAGTGGTTGCCATCATTTGAAAGGGAACATGTTTGTATGCAAAATCCAGTTGTTTTTTTATCAGTTCAGACTTGGCAAGCTCGTATGGCATTTCACTCTGAAACTGCCATGAACATTCTTCCAATGACGCCTTGAATCTTATTCGCTTTGGAAAGACAGAAGCGTTTTACACAATTTTTTGGTAATGAATTTGGTTTCTCATATCTTAGTCCATTGAGTGTTCAAAAAGCTTCTTGCTAATAGTTCATTCATCGAGGTGCTTATTATTACAGTCAATTTTTTTCTCTCTTCAATTATTCAATTCAACTTCCAAATTATCACAAGTTTAAATGTATACTCAATTCTTCTTCGAACTCATTCAATTTCTGGGGTCTGTCACCTCTCGGCCAAATGCCGTAGGACAAGGCTACAGGCCAGCTGCGTTTCAAGGCCCTTCAACCCCTAAAAATGTCAATACTTTCTTTGCATTAACTGCCGGGATCAATCGTCGGAAGGGTGACCTTCCAGGCATAGCTCCGGCCAATCCGCTTCAGAAGGTGAAGAGACTCCATGCCCAAATATACTTCATGTCTGACACCAATAGGGACACGATTGGTACACCGAATTAGAAGTGGAAGGACAGAAATATCCTGTCGTTATAGACACAGGCAGTAGCGATACATGGATCGTTAAACCCAACTTTACATGTTTAGATCATGGTACCGGAGCACCAACTTCTCAAAGTGAATGCTTGTTTGGTCCAGGGTATGCCCCCGACTCAGGCTTCAAGCCGATCCCGAGCCAACATCTCAATACTACATATGCAAGTGGGGAGAATCTAAAAGGAACATTTGGTTTCGTGGATGTAACTTTGGGTGGGATTTCGTGAGTTTTTTGATCTTCTTCATAATCCAACCGCTCACTCAGCAGTGTCAATACTCAGATTGCGACTGTTGATACAGCTGCATGGCTTGGTGATGGAACCACGAGTGGCTTGTTGGGTCTTGCATATCCATCTATGTTAGTCGCTTCTTCCCTTAGATCTGAGCTTTCCTGATTTTATTCTAGCACCGCGGCGTTCAATGGCACCACTTTTGAAAATGACAATGCGGAAACTCAACGTAAGTGAAACTACTGTACTTGTTTCCGCGGGACTAATGACATGCAGTTCCATATGACCCTATCTTCACGACCATGCACAAAAAGCACCTTATACCCCCAATTTTCAGTCTCGCCTTGAGCAGGCCCTCAAATCGCATTAGCCACGGCAATGGATATTTAGCCTTAGGCGGCTTGCCTCCCATTGCCTCCTATAGAGCTTGGGCTGTGGCGCCAATTCAAATCGTCGCCATAGGGGAAGGTTACATACAAGGAGCTCTTCCATGGCCACAGCATCGTTCGTCCGACCCCATAGGCTTCAATCATCTGTTGACACTGTACTAACCTCTTCTTAGAAGTCTACACACTCACACCAGACAATTTCATTTACCCTGGTAGTCAACGTCAAAAATGGAATCCCAAACACTGGTCCCCACTTTCCATGCCCAGCAGCAGTTCTCAGGTCCAACTCTTCATCGACTCAGGCACTACCCTTATTTTCCTCCCCAACTCCATCTCTTCCGCCCTTGCAGCACTATACAAGCCACCTGCCGTTTACAATGCAGATCTACTCGCTTACTCTGTACCATGTAATGCTAAAGTGCCGTATTTTGCTGTCGTTATTAGTGGCGTGTCGTTTCCTGTCGATCCAAGGGATATGGTACAGGATGATAACACGGGTACGGGAAACTGCGTGGCGGGCGTGAGTGACGGAGATCCTTTTAACTTTTATACGCTTGGAGATGTGTTTTTGAAGAATGTAGTGGTGGTTTTTGATGTGGGGGCTTCCCAGTTGAAGTTTAGGAGTAGGGGTTTCTACTGATTTATATAACTTTGTGACCCTTCGATCATGCTACTTACTATCTCTGCGTTAAAATTTACTGCTTTTCCCCCTGCTCTTTGATGGTACTGTCGGTTTTTGAAGCTTATCTGACGTCTGGCCAAATTTCGAGAGCAAAAAGTGGTATGACGTGGATATTTCACATCTCTAACGGAGTTCTGATGTTCTAAATTACCTGCCAAAATCCTTTCTGTCATGGCTATAATGTCTAGCGTTTGGTATTATCTGTTAAAACCTTGCTCATGCTATTGCCTGCTGTACATAAACGACGCATGGGCCCAAAATATCCTTAGATGTTTTTTGGACTGTCGAATTTTCTGTCACTCGTCCGATATTCTTGCCATCTCTGTCTTCGGCTCAAACGGTGGGCTTTGTTGAACGTCTAGACGAAACCCCCCAAAAATTCGCCTGAACGTACGCTTCTATTGAATCATTGCCGCAAAAGTTCTTAGATGTACGTCTTCATAATGCCTGATGGCTGCCGTCCGAAATTTCGTTAACAATCTTGGTTTTGCATAGCACATAAACTTATCGTTGCCGGATCGGTTCCTGGGAAGCTTGGTCTTGTACATCTGCAAAAGTTCCATTGACTCTTGTCGTCTGAAGTTGCATTTCTCATCAATTTTGTCTGTCACAGTAGCACTACTTCACTAGATAGGAATTCTTTGATCATACGTCTTCAAACCTTGGTAGCTTTTCATCTGAACTTTCAATCCGTCAAGTGTGTCTTCAGTCGACCGCAACGGCTACTTTTTTTTTGCTGAAGAGGCTCTGGTTGTTTTTCTGCAAGAATGCTGGCGGTTTTTATTTGAAGGGTTGTAACGTTTGAGTGCTAGGCGTTCGATGGTATATAGTCAGTGATAGTCTGTCTCTGTCGGATCACACCAGATTTTGGCATGCAGATTACTAGCTTCCTAGCGAAAATGCCCGCTGGCCCCGAGTGGAGCAGAATGTTTCCCACTTTTGCTCCAGTGATTCATGGTTAGAAGAATGTTCGTGGATATTTAATGTCTTCTAAACATGTATGCGTCTTTATTTTGCTCTCTGGATCGGCTTCATTGTAAGGTTTTGTAATGATACGATGACAGCTTCGCGTATTTTTTCCTTGATAGTTGACCAGTTTGAAGTAGAACTTTCAAATGAACCAGTCAGCGTATGTTTTTTGATAAGATTTCATTCGGCCATCATCTGCTCAACAGGTATGGAGAGAATTGAGAGTGGGAATATGACCGTCTCTGTAACTTCTTGCATTGAAGATGCTAATTTATCCTTCCACGCGCCCTGGGTCATAATGAAACCGCTACTGCATTCTCCCGATGATAATCTGGAACACAGCCATGGTTCTCACTCCTTGATTTTAGAATCTTATCCTCCAAGGCGTCACATGGAAGCTTGCTTCAGAGCGGGACGAACCGTTCACATATCGTTGTGGGGGGGCATCATGAAGAATGAATGGCCGGGCAAGAAGTTCTCTGCCGTGTCGATTTCAACGAATACAGCCGCATCAAGCAGCTCTCGTTCTTGATGCAATAATCTCGTAGTTAATCTTGATCCACTGAACCCCCAAGTCTTGAAGGAGATAAATTGCTGCTGATCTTTGTATTATTCCTGCACTCGCTCGCCTTTGGACCCATTTCTTGTCAACATAAAGACCCTCTTTTTCTCAGCCATTGAGACCCCGGTAATCCATCGATCAAGGCGGCATAGAAACTTGTTCAGAAGTCACTGTTACCAAGGTGAGAAAGACAGTCCTTCAGGTTCCACGTTTCCGGCGAGAGCATGAAATGAATTTGGCCCCATGCTACGATCGGCAAGATTGGGGTCAAGTAAGATTTGTCACTTGCCTTGGAGACCCACATTCACCGGGAGAGGGCATTTGTTGATCATAATTCATTCTACTATGACGGTGTTCCGATTTGCCATGCACAACATCAGACCATAATTCGATCAAACAGGATTTTGATTCTAGCCAACTTTCACTTTAACGTCGCGACTATGGTTTCTCTCCGGGGCCTCTAGCTCCACCCAATTTTATCTTCAAAACATACCCATTACTAATAATCTTCTCTACTCTATTCTTACTTGCTACATCAAGTTTTTTGGTTGCACTGAGAGCCTCTTGAGTATTCGATTTCAACGTCGTCATCCGGCTGCATTCATCCGTCTACATATATCATACAATACATGTATAAAATTCCAAATATAAACTGTCTTTATGTTACTTCACCTCACTGTGCGTCAGTATTCAGCTGAAGAGTGGCTCAAAAGAGTCGTGATATATACAAGGTCACGATTGAGGCTGTGTTGTAGTATTGTATTTCGAGAATCAAATTCAATAGTCCAGTCCGATTGTAGCTCTGCGAAGCGAACATGGTATTGTTATCTGCATTACAGCCGTACAGCTGGCAGGAAACCGTTGGGGGCGAAATGCGGGGGAAGGGAGATATGGGGATGGGCCGGAAAAAGATGATGAGCTGGCTGATAAGTTCTGGTTGTTACACGGAAACGAGAACTTCGTATGTAGTTGACAGATGTATACATTAAGATATGCGGAGAGCTGTGTTGGGGTGAAGATTGGTTGATTAAAAGTACCTAGCATCTGTATCTAAGCTCCAGCTGCGCTTTGCAAAGAAACCTTGAAACGGCCTGAACTTGGTCGGGAGCAAAGATAACTGGACCCGTTGAAGACGTCAAGAAAAATTTAGGCTGCAGCATTCTCTGATTCTTCGCTATTGATGGTTGCAACTTTGCAAAAATCAAATGTTCACTGCATGCATATTGACATCAAGATGAAAACCTTGAAACACGCTTGAAGGATTCTTCCTTTACGACTTCGAAAAGGGGTCTGCGTTCAAAGGCGCGTGTGGATATAGCTGGACGATGGGATGAAAAACGATGTCGGCGTAAACACGTGAGAAGTCTGCATCTGATCGATACGAAGATGGCTTTCTCGGAAGAATTAGATAAGATATGCTGCTTTGACTGCCGCCTGGAAACTGAGGTTGGGATCTGGAAATTTGGAAAGGAAATAAGGTGTTGTTGGAAGGGGGTGAGGGGAATGAGAACCCCCAGAAACCTATATTGAATTGAAACATGCCGAATAGGAAACGGATATTTTGCTTCCGCCGCTGCTATCATTCATTTTTGTTTGTCCCTATCATTTTTTTTTGTTTTTTTGCGCAATTATAAACTTTCCAATTGTCTGGATAATTCGGTTGAGCCCGTACCGAACGGATATGTCGGGCGCCGGCTGGCTGCCCCTTCATCTAGTCGTCAAAAAGCAATATGGGTTAAATTCCATGTGTGTGGGTGGGTATCTCTTGTGAAGAAAATGTGATAGACATGCTTGCTAGATGCAGTCATCCGCATTTCTGGACTGTGGTGGACAAATCACAAGACTTTTCATTTCAGCGTTTAATATCAATGGAGTCCAGAATGAAAATCAGCAAACGAATTAGTGGTCGGCATATGGCGGTTCATAGAAGTCGTCCAAAAGAAGAATCGTGTGCAGAATATCTTCAATTGTGTGGCTTGAATTAACATTCATAGTACCTAGGTATCGATGTACAGTACCCTTTTCACGAAAGAACCTTGGGAACATGTACTTTGCCGCTCATCAGAACCCTTGAATGGATCAAGTTTTAGTTTGCTTGATCTCAAAAATGCCTCCCGACTCAGAAGACCGCGCTTGGGTGTAGGTCGATACCAGGCCAGGCCTGCCACGGTACTGTAATTCGATCTGTTGTACCTCCACGCGCTCCTCGTAACTGACATATTGGCTACCTCGTTGTCACACCTTTGACTCGAATCCTCGTTCTTCTTGCATGTCAAACCGTCGAGAATTGCATTAAACCTGCAGGTAAAACCATATCACATCCAAAAACATAATATCGGTCCTTCTGTCCCGGAGTTTCTCGACCAAGCATTTTGTTTTTTCGGCATTTAGGGTTTCTTGGATTGATTTCGTTATGAATTACTTAGCTGAGACATTTCGATATATTTCTTCGGATCAATTGGATGCCATCCTTGGACGAGAACCTGAAAGTTCCTGTTACTCTTGTTTAAGGTCTGGGGTAGCAATCCCTCCGTGCCACCCTTGATGAGATGATTGAAGGGATGACGGAGCGCCCGATAAAGGAATCAAGCAGGCCATAAACGATAAAATTGCATATTTTTGAATTATCAAGTAGCCAAAGAAAAAGTTAGTATCGAACAGCCTAAATATACGCGTGATGATCTCCTGTACTTGGTGAATCCAATTGTAGAAGACAGACACACGTTTTCTCCAGGTTCCAGAATGCTTCCACGGCATCACAATGAAGCATTGCATTTGCATTTGAAGGAGTAGGAGCAGTGCAATGTTGGATTGGCAGTATGTATAGTTTTTTGTGGATTACAACGTCCAATTCACGGGACGGGGAACTTTCTGCTTTGTTGCATCGTGGGATAAGGCTGGTCGGCAAGGCTACTCGAGCGTGGTGAAAGTAGTGTTTCTCTTCTACAACAGCGTTCCATTCATTAGGCTTTAGGGCAGAGTAAATTTCCGGAGGCGATAAATGTCGTCGGAGGCTTAATTCGCGGTATCAATGATAGCTGAAGGTGTCTTAGTTGTTGAACGGTTCTTGATTTGAGCGTCTATTCAAACTTATGACAGGCCTCACGACAAGCATCGAAAGCCTATAATCTTAATGTGTTTCATTTTAGAATTTTCTTTAACGTTTGAGGCTTTCAACAGATGGTTGCAATACATACATTATCTACAAGCGTTTATTTGACGGAGCTAGTGCAAACATTTATGCGAGCTTGAAGAAATTCGAAAACCCTCCTAGTCTTCTTAGCCCTCTCTCCTCTGTAGATATCTTGAAAGGATTGATGAAGTTTGACGAGCCACCACCTACAAACAGAAGCACATGCTATCATGGTAACACTCCCGGTAATAGTATCTAGATGCCTAGGTATCTATCACTTTCGGAGATACCTACTCGACAGCTACCGAATAGCTACGATCTCGAACCCGCTTTTAACTCAATCGAAAGTTGAAAATGCATTGAACAGTACTTGAACATGCCACCATACATTTGCGATCCTGGGTGAGCCCCTACACCCTTGTCGTGGGTGGATAAAACGTACATATCTCGTGAAGCTTATCTAACTTGGGCTTAGAATAATGTTGACCCCTTCATCTTCCGTAGCCCCACAAGTTCTTTCGCACATTTGTCTCGGGAGAACCAAACCTAATTCAAACCCATGGACATTACTAGGGATGTATGTATGTTCAGATAATAGGTTGATATTCGGGATAATGCAGGACGATCAGAGGTAAGATATTTGACAAGAATTCAAATCTTGTCTTCGATATCAGCTCACAGTAGGTGCGAAATAGACCGTGGATTATCCAGATAATATCGTATGCTCAAGCTAAAAATATTATTCTTCCGGATATGTAGTATTACATTATCATCCTTCAATCTTGATGCACCTCGCACTGTCAGATTTTATCGCCGGGTTCGTATTCACATCCGCCGCCGCAACAAGCGAAATCTCACGCGAAGCACAAAAAAAACATTTGCAGAGATGTGAAGCCAAACCTTGGTAATATTTAGGACACCCCAGGATTATTTTCAAATCCACTTACCGAACTATAACTCATTTAGGCCATATCCTCATCTCCGCCCACGGCTGACAGTCCTAGCTATCATTCGTCAGAAGATCATCAAGGATACTGTCTAGGGCCCTGGAAATAATTTATATTGGTTGGTGCTGAATAAGACTTGACAAGACCTAATGCTGCGTTAGCTCGTTAGACATGGAAAAAGAACTGATTACAAACGCGAGAAAAGGAAAGCATCAACAAACCAAAACATAAGACGAAATGACATCGGACAATGTTGGTACTTGGGGCGCTTGGGGGCTTGAGATATCTTTTTGATCGTAAGCTTGTGGAATGGTTGCCGGCCGGATTTATTGACAGGTCAGGGGCACCTGTTGGTCAAGGCTATTTCACCTTATGGGAGCTATACTTATTTGGATATGCCTGTCAGCGGATTCCATCCTCTTTTGAGAGATGACCGTGAGGCGGTACACGGTTCCCCCCTTGAACTATACATCGTTTACAGATTTATCCTTGTCCGTCAACGTCTTTTTCGATATTCCCTCTGAAGATCTCCAATTCGCCATGGTTTTCGATTTTAGGCACTGAGAGATGGAAGCATAAAGCTCTCCCCAATAGGATCAATCTAGCCCATATTCTTATACACTATCACTAATGCAGATCACGCGCCAGCCACTTCTACTCGTTCGAGATAATATATGCCATGGGGGTACTCATATACATTGCCCTTTCGAAGAGGGGAACGGAACACAAATGAGGCCAAAGCAGTTATCCACCTGCCTACTTGACAAAGAATTCGGAAGGACGTTAGACCCATCATGAGGCTTGCTTGCATCCCGCACCTTAGTCTCGTCCTTTGGCCCCTTTGGTAGACCATGTTTAGATTCATGAATAAGAGCTTAGCTCCCGAACCCAGGATAAGCTTGTACTCCGGCCTTCATCTTCCCTTTCATCCCATAATACATCATGCTAAACACTCCATGAAGAATCACTTTTATGGATAAATGTTTGACTCTTGATCTTCAATCATTAATCGACCAATAATCAAAACTTCTTTCTTCAGATGCTTCAATGTCCATAACACAAACAACAACGATGGCAGCCATAAAGCCAGAAGAGTCAGAACATTCAATTTGGCAAGGCTATGCTCTTCAACCACCTCATACTTCTCATCAAACGGCCTTCGAGTCAAATTTTCCTTCTGGTCCTCTGGCATTGCCGTATCATGCAAGACAGAAGGGAGGGTACCGATCAATGGATATTTCTTCAATCAACACAAGACCTCCCCACAGGGAAGGAAATGGGGTGTTGACTACTTCACCACCACCACTAAATTCACATCATAGCTACCCTTCTCTCAAACGACCGTTTCATTCTACAGATGATTCGCCCTATGGCGAAGTAGTGCAGGACTTCCGGGAAGACTTGTCAGAACATCCAAAACCTAATATTAGTCAAGATCACAGACTACTTTCCTTTAGTAGACGACAGCCAAAGCACACTATCGTAGACCAACATGGAAGAATACAACAGCTAGACCTTTCAGCGCAAATTCACGGAATGTTCTTTTTATCGGAAATGACAACCCCCACGGGCGAGGGAGTGATTGTCCAGCCAGAGCTGACCTGTTACCGGAGGAACCTATTTCAAATTTCCGGGTCCGTTACTACGCCCCGAGGCGCCTTATCCGTGATTACGGAACGCGGAGAACGCATTCCAATTTTATCCCTAGAAGTAACGATCAGTGCCACGGAATCAGTTGATGGCCATTCTGTCAAACTGATTGTCATCCCATGGAAAACACCTCCACCAAACTCCCCTGAAGTAACACCTGGCCAGGAGCAGGAGCCATCGTCTATTCCACTACTTCCATTTGACGATGGAGCTCCAGATACAAACAACGAGTTCGCCGTCTACCCTATAGCCTACAGAAGACTTCAATTTAGAATCGCGACCGCTAACAATGGCCGGAGACGAGAGCTCCAACAGCATTTTACCTTGCATTTAAATGTTGTAGGAACTTTGGGAAACAACACGAAGATCAATGTTTGTGAGACAGCGACAGCGCCAATTGTGGTCAGAGGTCGAAGTCCGAGGAACTTCCAAGCAAGGAAGGAAATTGCACTCGTCGGGTCATCAGCCTCTCGGGGCCAAGCACCAGAGTTGCAGATCACAAGTAGCAGTACGTCTGGTAGTGCTACAATGAAACCAAAATTGGCAAAACCTCAGACCCTTGAACTACCTCGATCGCCATTCAATTTCGATGCAAGCAATCTTCCTGTATCTCCACATTTGATGAGACAACAGTAAGTTCTTTCACTCAGTGTCATGTTATTCATCCCGATTTTGACTTGAAGTCGAATGATCTCGGAATCATTTTCAACTTCGTAACATCTGCCTTGACTGTAAGCTGACATGGCCAAATTAGAACTCTACCATCATGGTTCGCCCCGCCGCATTCATCTGAGCACACCCCAGGCCCATCAACTCCGAACTACCAAGGACCCCCGCCGTCGTTATCGATGGATAATTATCTCCAAGGAAACCATTCCAGTTCAGAGAATCCACAAACCCACTCTCCAGCCTCTACAATGCCAGCACCTGCACCTCCAGTACGATCATATACGTACCAAAGTACAACTTCACCCAGTGGGGCTCCCATACGATTCATCGACAGCAATCCCCGGCCCGCAAAATCACCTCGCCATCAAGCACCCCCCGAACTGAACTCTTCTTTCTCTTCCGATTTCACAGCTCGGTTCAACGCACCTACGCCATATAGTTCTGCCAGTGACCCTGCGCAACCAAGAGAATACTTCCCTACATCTATGTCTATGCAACCATGGACCACTGCTCAAGACACCGCGTCTACGTATGGAACTACGCTACCCGCAGTCACTAGCTCCCACTATGAATATTCTGGAGATCAGCATTACGTAAAAGAAGAAGGCCACTCTCAACCACCACCGCCGCATCAACAGCCCAGTCAACAGCATTACACTTGGAGCGCCGCATAGTTTTATTGAACTTTAACGCACTGCATTAATTCAGCGTTTCATTAAGAACTCATTCCAGTACACATACGCATCGGATATCAGATATCAGGCCTTGTATGCCAGAATCCAGAAATTCATGCATCATTTCCTTGCACTGTGTCAATCTCTTTTTTTATTAATTCTGCACTTCAGTCAGTACCCAAGGGAATCAGCCCCCAGTTTCATGTTTATATGTGCTCTCTTTTGAGATGGAAGGAAACGAAGCAATGGAATAGGATGATATGGGATACATTATGGTATTCCCCAGCGAACTGAAAATTCAGCATAGGCATCATACATAGCAAGCGATGGCGTAGGAAAAATGGTGGTGAACTTTAGGTTTCTCTTGTCTCCGTTTCTTTTGGCATCTCTTTCATGCTTCTTACACTGCGGATACATGGGATGGATGGATGATTTGGATGATATCAATATATGGATGGAACAATGGATGTACTTTTATAAACTCATGTTATGATCAGACTTGATACCCTCATTAATTCCTTAATACACCGTCAAATCTAAATCAACGAAGACGTTGGGTGAAATTTCAAACCTTTTAAAATACAGGATTTGTTCTTTGATTTCGATCATCTGTGAAATATGTAACGTTGCCTCGTTGCTCTTTTACATAAAAAATACCAAGTGAAGTCTAAACCAAAGATCGCGGGCCAGCCCGTTGCACAATTGGTCATTCTTGGCCCCCGCATAGACTTAATTTGAGTCCCCACCAAAAAATATGTCGAGAGCTTCGATGCAGAAACATTGGTCAAGCTTCACAACAACACAACAATAAATATGTTTGACCTCCCGGACGCGAAACGGTGAGTTTGTTATTGCTCCATGAGAGAAAGACGCTAGTTTGAACATCTGCTGACATTTATTGATAGTGTGCGCCGCTCAGATCTATATACTCGATCCTCGTCATCATCTCCCGAACCTCCTTCACCAATCGACCCTGATGTCTCTGCTCGATTTCACAACCAGCTTGCTTCACTTTATGGGCCTATTTCATTTCAATCGTGCGGAACCGAGAACACGTTAAACATTGAACCCATAAACGATGCTCCACATTCACCACCACTGGACGATGACCAGGACCAGGCAGAGGAATTTGACTTTCGGCTTTTCTCAAATGTCAAAGAAGGCAAGATAGTCCTCAAGGAGGAGGCAGTTGATAAAGGGATTTTTGTTCGGGAAAGGGACAAGAGTTATTACTTCACCGGTCCAATTGAGGGGCAACGTAAAGAGGAATACGCCATTGCGGCAATTAGTGGAGAAGATGTTTTGGAAGGCAGAGAAAAAAGATATTGGGGCTTGGAAGTTCCGTGGCGAGTCCGGGTTGTGAAGATTGGTGTTAGTGGGCAGAAAAAATTGGGAAGCAATGGCCTCTTCGGGGCCAGAAATAGTTCCAGTGGGGAGAAGAAGAGGAAACTAGGCAAGAAGATGAGGATTCTCATGAGAGAGAGGAGAAGGACAATCGAGGCTCAAGAACAGGCAATGACGAGGGAGAAGGAAAGCAAAGAGGAGGCAGACAAAGAGAGGAGAGCTAGAAAGAACAGAGAGAAAAAAGTCAAGAGGAAGGCAAAGGAGAAGGCGTTGAAAGCTGCTGCCGGGGGGAATAAACAGACCGAGCCCGGAGTTGACGGAGCTGATGAATGAAGATGAAAGGACCAATTCTTTTTCGGTCGCTGCCGGATCGACATTTACGATGGGAGAAGAACCAAATCTTTCAATCTGCGATTCGTAACCCCACTCGAACTTCCGATAACCTTCGATCCTCCCATGCGCATCTACGAAGGACGAAAACCCCTCCAAAGAACCCCTTGCGTAAATGCAACCATAATTTAATACCCCCCACTATACAACTTCTTTGTCGCATCTCACCCACAACACAAACGGGAAGGACACACACTATCCAACCCAACTAAACAACTTTTCCTCGTGGTTTCTAGGATTTAGCATTAAAGTTATGCATTTGACATATCACAACGGTAATACTTGTACAACACGTTCCTTCCGTCCCGTGCTCAGGAGGAGGCTTGAAAGCCTCAATCATAGCCTCGATCCTTTAGTCGCATCTACGAGAACGCAAAATACCTTCAGAACATTCACGAAAACACATGCCCTATTCCTTTCATTTTTAAGGATTCCGAAGGATCAAATAACATGAAATGAAGGATTCCTTCTCTCACACCATTGCTTCCCTAAATCAAAGACAGTCAAGAATATCAAGTCCTTCACTTGTACCTATTTGCCGGTCCCTGCAGCTACGCCGTACCTCTGCGACTTTGTACATTTCTGGGAATACCTTGGCCGCCGGCTTGCTAGTATGACAAATAGATTATTCTATGGGATGGCATTTTCCATGCCACGATTGATTTTCGGATTGAACACCTTCCATAAACAACCAAGTATACATCTATCTACCCGGCATGCAGTTTTAGCCTTGGCCTCAAATAAGACCCTGCGGGCATTAGCACATAAGGTCTAGGTACATGGCTTTCTAGCTTATCCGCTCCACCCCCGCTGTTACGTTGCCCCGCCGTGCCACATCGATACAGGAACAATCTATATGGTCATGGCTGTAATATGGTTAATCTTCGTCTATAATATACTTACAATAGTGGATATGGGAAAATTTGTAAGTAACGAAGAGAAAAACAATGGAAATCAAATATCCTTGGTTATCCACACGAGGCACAGTCGTGGCGCCATTACGCGGTACGGGATCGGAGGGTATTTCCCCTTTGGGTAATTGCTCATATATTCAGACGATCTCTTGTTGATCGAGCGGAAAAATACCTATGGCCAAGATAAGTGATACTAACTCTATTTTTTTTGCCGGGCTTATTCACGTATTCACGTATTGAGGATTTGTATTACCGGACTTGTACTCAAGTATTTTATTTTGTTTCTGAATAGTGGCTGGGAACAAATTGATGGTCAGCGAGACGAAAGTGATGGTGACATGGTGTGCTATGTCAGATGTTTAAATGTCAAATTGATCTACGCTAGTGCGTATTTGGTTACACCATACTGAATGCTGATATTACATTCACAAGATAACTCATTCCTTGACTGGTGGACCTAGGTATTTGCTTACTTACTCAATGAGTAAGTAATGTTCCATATTTAATTTTGGCTCAGTGTAGTCACTCCATTATACTATTTCTTTAGTGGTTACTATACAATGTATGAAGAAGTATAGTAATTGGTTCAAACCGAATGCTAATAGGCTAGGGTTCACTAGTCGAGGATTTAGTGATTACTTTCTGCAACGAACCCCAAGCTATCACATACATACAAGTCTTGAGCGGATAGACGGACGAGACCGACGCTTATTTAGTGTTGATGCACGTATGTATGTACGGCACCTTTGAAGGTTGAAGGTTGAAGATTTAAGATGCTTGAGGGGATTGTTTCGGGTCATCTTTCATATGTGGGTTTCACTGGATGGGTTTTGCGGAACGAGTATGGTTAGTGTGGGGGGATGCGATGAGGGGGTAGATTGTTTTTGAGGGTCTGAATTTAGCCTTTTTTTCCCTCTTGGCTTCGAAATATGCAGTTAAACAGGATACAAATGTTCATTCTTAAATTCAATAATGCATTTTCGGGTATAAAGTTTCTTGTATTTTGTATTCTCAATCTTGAGTTTTCGGCTTATGCATAGATTCGTCTATCCCTCCCTCCCTTATCTTCCTTCGCCTTTCGTTCTAAATTTATAGCATACTTGAAATTCGGTTTATCGCCGAAAGTGATAACGTGAGGATGACATAAGTCTCGCTCTTTAGACCTCGTTCTGGATATGTATCTAATACTGTGCTAACTAGTTGCTTACCAGCATAATTCTTTGCTTGCTTGTTAGTCTGCCGGCTTGGTTGATTAACTTGATTGCGAAATTGGGGTCTACTTACTTGTACGTGTACTAGTGGGGCATCCCCATTTAAGCATCCGATGATATAATATGGGATTCGCGAATTTGATAGTGGATCGTGAAGAGGGATCCGAAGAGTAGATGAAATTAAGATTAAGATGAGTAAGGATTTGATCAAGGTTTTCTTAGATCATTTGACATTGCGATCTACTTTAATAGCGAGCGCAACAGTGTGGCGAGTACATATTACAAGGGAGATCGACCGAGGTTTTTTGAGGGGTGTAGGAGGCTTACTGTGGAGATGGCGTGTGTATTTGCGAGGGATTCAGTATGGGTACGCTCTCGAGTAATCTATTATGGTTCGTGACTGGATGTCAGGAGGCTAGATTGTAGGAAGGATTGAGAATGTAAAGGGTGGTATGATGCGAGATTTGCTGGGGTTTGGTTGTGCAATTATCCTTGAAGCGTAATGGGGTCGCAAGAGCTGTTTGCTCTCCACATGGTCGGAGAATTGATGGGGAGGACATAGTCCGAGTAACGACGAAGTTTAAACGTCTTTATTGTGGGCTTGATAAGTGGTGTCTTAGAGCGGTGGATGTGAACTTGAAGGAACGGAGACGGGGATGGGGATGGAAAGGGAAAGGGAAAGAGAAAGAGAAAGGAATCGCTGGTGGGGATGCACTCTGTTAGTGCAAATGGGAAGGGAGATTCACTTTAGTGTCGTAGCGGTATAGCCGTTTTGTACGGAGTAGGGGTTTTGACACGGACCAGGTTAGGGAGACGGGGAGTTAAGTTCTTTAGACGAGTTGATGGATGGATTTGTCTAGTACTGACTGGAGATACTCGTGTCTATTTTGGAGATGTTTGCGCGCGCGCTCAGGATCCGATGGACATGGAGATGGAGATAGAAAGGGGATAGTGATGGAGATTCATTTCATTTTATTCTGGACTTCGTTTTAAACTGGATGGGGGTATGGATGATGGGGAGACAGTAAGTAGATGGTAGGGAAGAGAATAAATTAATAATATGGAAGGAATGTATGGCGAAGTCCGATATCAGTTTCAATATACATAGGTACGTAAAAAGAATTCAAGATTGGGTTTCTGGATCGAGCTGTTGAGTAGGTATTTTACCTTGATTACTTGCTACCTAGGTAGGTAGGTGCTTACTTCATTGAGCGGTCGATACGTATTGAGAACTCCATCTGTGTGAGAGATTGTGAATTACAACTTGTGTATTCGTGAATTGTATCTTAGATGTGAAATTATGTCAAGATTGGATACGAATTCGTGTGTCTGCGTAGCTATGTACGTGGATAAGTAGGTATGTGAAAATGATCCTATGCAGTGTTGAAACCGAGTTTTACTCGGGTTCTTGATTGGGTATTCGGTGTTTGGGTTCGTGATTTGGATGGTCTGTTTATTTTAGATATAGATTGTGAGGATAGAGGTTTCGTTGTGGGGATTTGAGTTGCGGATTGTGGATTTTTCGGATCCAGAGGTTGGATGGGAGGGGAGGGAGAATAACTTGGGGAGGTATCATGTGGGAATAGAAGAGAAGTTGAGAGTGTTAGGTGGGATCGTAGCTAGATGGATGAGATTGATAGAATGAATGCGTTTAAATACAAAGGGGGATATGGGAGGGAGAGAACAGACAAAGTTATGTGAGATAATGATGCTGGGTAGAGGGTGTCAACTGAACTAGGACAATGAGTGATGATGTGAATGAAGTATTGCAATAACATACTATCGGGATACATACATTAGTTGACAGGACATGCATTTTGGTACACAATTAGGTATTGACATTAATGATATGTTCTTGTTTCTTCGTCTTTCTTTCTTTCTTTCTCATGTCTGTATCTATCGTTCATTCAATCATTCATCCATCTTGATCAGAGATTCATGCGAAGCACGACTATTTACCATGATAGGTCCTCAAACTAACCTGAACCCCTCTCCCAGAATTTCCAACTGCTACTTCCACTCCCACTGCTACTTCTTTCTCTCTTGGAGACTTGATCTCGTCCGCGAATCCGCCAGTAGTATATCGGCACTCCAGCGAGTACAAACGCAACAACAATGAGCGTTTGAATTGGCTCCGCAAAGACTGCTCTGCTGAGTAGAAATAAACTCACACAGCAGAAGATTATGGGGGTAGTAATCCAAGTCTTGTAAGGACGTTCGAGATTAGGTTCGCGAACGCGAAGAACAATGAGTCCTAGGACTGTGAAGAAATAGAATGTATAGCCAGCTACGCCGTAAAAGGTGACTAGCGTACCGAATTCGCCGACAGCGACATAGACTGCCGTCAAGAGAGCATTGAGAATCATGGCGTTAACGGGTGTGAAGAAGAGCCCGGTGTCTTCGTCACCGAAGAATCTGGCTAATTTCTTTGATACCCAACTGCGTGTTCGGAGAGTGTTGGCAGAAGGCTCCGCTTGGTTTCCGAACCCAATTTTGCCAAACATGGCGGGTAGATATCCTTCTTTGCTAGCTGCATAGACTAATCGTCCACTAGTGAAGGCTGTTGCATTTAGAGCTCCAAAACAGCTTGCGCTGACAATAAGAGCAAGTATCAATGATCCAATGGGACCAAATACCTTGTTTCCAAATATAACTGCAACTGTATTTGAAGAATTGATAGCTTTTAGAGGTAGGACGAAGAAATAGGCGACATTAGCGAGAATATAGGAGAGAATGACTAATGGCATGGCTGTGTGGATGACTCTTGGCAAGTCCCGAGTAGGGTTTCGGAACTCTCCAACCACGTAATTTGTCTATG